CCCAAATCTAGGCAGCGATACATGTAATTTACGGGGGTATTAAATCTGGGAATGCGCAATACGGCAGGGTGAAAGTTACATGAGCCAGGGTTATTTCGGCCGGCAAGATAATGGTGTTAGCGGTTTCATATCCCCCGACGAGTTTTCACAAGAATCAGACTCTATACGGGACCGCTTTGCAAGCACTCCCAATCCTCAGCCTGAACAACAGAGCACCAGTCCGGGAGCTGCTCCCTTGTACGATCCACTTGATCAACAGACTCATCTTTCGCATGCTCATACAGCCGAACTAGAAACTGGCACGGCATCCACGTTGCAACCCACTTGCGGTGACGGTAGCCAAGACCTATCATCCAATAAGAGACGGACTGTACCAGAGTTCATTTCAGGACATAAAGCGACGAGACGAGTATTCTGAAAAACTCATGACTAAGCGCCAAGAATTATGGATGTACGGAGTACCCACCTCAGAATAACTTGGAGAATGTGACCCCTTATAGTCAACAACAACATGCCGCAAACGCTGCCACTCCTTCGTGGCAAAGAGCTCACGTACTCAGCTGCTAGGGAGGAAGAAGTCAACATTGTTCATCAGTTAGGCTACCATGCAAAACAAATCCGATTCTTCGCCTATCTTCGCGACCGGCGGGACTGGATGAGGGCCATTGTTAGCCATCATCTTTGTCTTCCATCTGTCGCATGCCAAGTAGCCACAGAAGAAAATTGGCTCCATGGCAGCTACAACGTCTGTGTCCCAGTTACCATTAGTTGTTGGAACAAAAAACGCGTTCTTATCCGTTTCCCTCTACCATACCGCATTGGTGAAGCTTTCAGACCTGGCAATGGGGACGAGAAGATTCGCTGCGAAGCAGGGACCTACGCTTGGCTCCAAGAGAACTGTCCAGATGTACCAATTCCAAAGTTGTATGGCTTTGCCCTGTCTACTGGTGAAACTGTACGAGATACCTCCAACAATTCCTTCTTCAAAACTAATTGAGGCCAGTTTAGCAGACTTGAAAACTTCCCAATTGTCCCTCGATATCTTCAGATTTTCCGCCGACATGCCTTATCCCTGCTAGGTTATCCAATTCCTTCGAACTATGTTCGCCATCCTGTTCCGAATCACATTACCCTTGACGGTATTGGTAGTACTGGCTATCTTTTGATCGAGTTTATCGAAGAGGCACAAGGGACAATGCTTTCTGATACATGGACTGATGGAAAAGACGATGTCAAATTACGGGGAAATCTCTTCCGTAGTCTTTCTCGGATTCTTTTAAGCATGAGTCGAATATCTTTGCCTAGAATCGGCTCCTTCGCCATTGATAACAGTGGATTCTTACATTTAGCGAATCGACCTTTGTCAATCGAGATCCAGGAGCTGGAGAATGAAAATATTCCAACAGATATACCTCGAGACTACACCTATTCCACTGCTGACTCCTATATTATAGATTTGCTTTCAATTCACGACAGCCGCCTCAAACATCAACCTAATGCTCTGAAAGACCTCGGAGATTTTGCCTACCAGTTATCTGCTTTGAGCGCAATGCGAACTGTGTTTACATCATTTTTCCATCGAGATTTTCGTCGTGGCCCATTTAGTTTCACTTTGACGGACCTGCATCAGAGCAATATATTTGTGGACGCCCAGTGGAATATAACTTGCCTGGTTGATTTGGAATGGGCATGCTCTAGGCCGATCGAGATGCTTAGGCCCCCCTACTGGCTTACGAATAAGGGTGTGGACCAGCTTGTTTGGGCAGAGTACAATTCTATTCGAATGGAATTCATGGAAATCCTCGCAGGCGAAGAAACAAAAATCAGAGCCAGCACAAGACCGGTGGATAGTAGAAACGTCTTACCTTACTCTCTCACAGAAGTGATGAATCGAACTTGGGCAACAGGGACTTTCTGGTATACGCTTGCTCTATCTAGTCCTTCTGGACTATTCAGCATTTTTCACAAACAAATCAGGCCTCTGTTTTGTCCAGAAATATATGGCCAGGAATTCAATTTGATTATGCCCTTTTTCTGGGAAAAGGATATAGGAAATATTGTCCGTCTCAAGACTTCTCACAAAAAGAAATACGACGAGGATCTTCGACGAGCCTTTGAGGATAGCTAATATACCATCAAACAGTCGTTACTGAGATGTTCCCTGTGAACCCTCTCGGTTTTGGTTCCCGTCACCTTGAAACTCAGTTCTCGCGGCCGCTTCCAGAGCGGCCATGGCTCGTTCAACTTGGTTTGCAACCCTTTTGTCCTTTGCAGCTTGGCCTGAAGAGCTAAGGTTTTTAAGAGTTTTGACGTCCGCTTTCACTCCAACAATTGCCTCTTTCCCCTCGTTTTGTTCAGACGGAGACTTATCGGACATCTTTGTTGAAATGTGTCTGCAGAAAGTAGTTAATTAGAGCCGAACAATGGAGCTACGGTTTTAGGAGCCATACATTAATATTTCGGAATCGATATATGCAAGTAAAAGCAAACTTGAGAAGTGAAAATCCGCAAATAACTAGTAGTTCTAACCAAGTTGATTTGAGTACACGGCGTATCTACTAGTCTGGAGTAGATAAGACTGATGCCGAAAATAAATTCGCAGGCTCTCTCTTGATTAGTTTTATTGGTTAAACATAGCAGCTGATTGCAGGTAAGCAGCCAATGAGCGAAAAGCCTGTGCTACTCTGTAGTTGATGCCCAAGATCGGTGATGTAGACTGTGGTTTTTTGATTCTTTCGCGTATGCATATAAATTTGTATTGGTGGCGAGAACTTTCCATAAAGATTCGGTAAAGAAAAGGCTAAATAGTTGATATGGGTCTGTAACGTCGATATTAGGAGGGATTCGTAGTTGGGGAGAGCGATTTTTATCGGTCTGTAAGGGTTCGAATTGGACATCATAGGCTTCCGGAATTTGTGCTAGAATAGACATTGCTTCAGCTCTTCTCCCCGTTGATTTTGGCTGAGAATTGGAGCCAGCTGAATGTATCTCTATACCCTTATTTACAGGTGCTAGCTCCCAGAGTAGGGGATAGTCTTCATTATTTCGTCGATCCTAAGTAATCATGTCGGCTTGCATGTCGAATCCGGTGTGAGGCTGTCACGTGATCTACGATGGCGCTAATTGTATTGCACGTGCATCACAAAAATAGATTTTTCCTCCTTCATCCTAGTATGAGCCATGTCCTCTCGTTCTCTAACAGGACGTCTATCCCAAGTTTATTGGTGAATTGTAATGAGTATGAGTTACCCCTCGCAACACCGATCAGCACGATTCCTCAGCCGTTCGCTTCTTCTTAGAGGGTTGACAAGCTGCGATTGATTTCCGTATCTCCTCTTGGGTAGCAATATACCCGCCTCGTTTGGATTCCCATCCCTGGAGTGGCGTTGACTGACTGGCAGTTTCTTGAATTGACATCTCCTGCGTGAGCGACTACCCTGGTGCGCTGCAATTTGTCTATCTGAATAATATTGTTGTTTGTTTCTCGTCTGTCGAAGCTTGTTTGATCCATTGGCAATATGCGGCTTCTTTCCTGAATCCAGCCTAGTCTGCTGATGAATACGAGCCGATCTCCTGAGTCTTTCCCCTCTTTCGCCTCTGGCTGTGGTAGAGCCACATGGTTCACTGGTCAACGTGGAAGATGATTCATCGATGAATGTGTGATGGAGGTGAGTGCGCTTGCTTCTTTCTCCTCCTCTTTCTCTTCCTCTTTCTTGAGAAGCAGAGGATGTAGTAGTAGGAACCCAGGACCGTAAATCATTGTCACATTTCTGTCTTTTTGGGTGTTCGCTGACCTCATCTGGACCGCGTTTAAGAGATTTTTTCTGACCTCTGCAATCCGGAATTTTCTCGATCGCCTTCGATTGACTTATCTCAAGTTCGATCAACGGGACTTGCTGAAGCATCCATTGTAGAAGAGTATCGTAGCGACCTGCCTCATGCTTTGCAATCCGGTAATTCTCAGTGTTCCGTTTGAATCTTGATATGAGATCATTTCGTTTTTTAATGAAACTTCGGTTCTGTATTGCTGTTGCTAGCTTGGATTGAGCTGCGGCTAGACTTTGTCGAGAATTAGTGATAGCTTGCTGAGCTGACATTATAGCAGAGAGCGCCGATTCCACAGATTCTTCTGTTTGTGATTCTTCATGCTGGCGCTGAAACGCAGAGGTGATGTCGTTAATATGCTCCTCCGTCTCCTCTGGTCTCAATATCTCTGAGTCGATGAGCATCTTCCACGATTCATCGTACTGTCGTTGAAGACGTTTCATTAAATTTACACAACGATCGTACTCCCCATACTCATAGCCTAGGTATTCGATCCACGTTGTAAGTCTGTCCTGCCGATGCGGGTCATCATCAAGTTGGAACTTCCGCGTGAACCCGTGTCTTATTAGACGGTCCTCCAGCGCCTTGATATATTCGGGAAAGCCAAACCGCTCTCTCTCAGGGTCATTCAAGTAGAAGGCGGGGCAGCGCTCGGTGAATTCCTCCCATGTCGTATAATTTTGTGCTGCAATACATAGCGTCCGTTCATTCTCGACTTTCTGCTCTCTTGCATATCGTTGGTACTTGCGGAAAACTTGCCATCGCCCTAACTGTGACCCAAATACCCTCCACTGGTCGTCGTATGACCGCCAAAGCCATAGCTTATCGCGGTGTTCCTCTGGGTTCTTAGTAACATCGTCAAAATGGTCAATTGAGTACCAAGGACGGCAGCCATCGTTAACCAGGATATGATAACTCTCCTTCTCGTGCTTCAAATCCTCATTGTATTCGTTCTCCTCATCACCAGCTTCCGTGGATGACGTAGACGATCGAGGTGACAGTTTGTTGTCTTGTTTTTCCAAGAGTCGAGCAGTTACTTGGTCTAGATTAAGTGGTCGGGATTCGGCTTTAACAGCATCTGGCGCACGTAGCCATCGATCTCTATCCAGATTCATTAGACGAAAGAAATGAGGAGCCAAGGAGAGTCAATCTACTTACCTTAGTCTCTGGTAGAAAAGCTGAGGCAGGTTCTCTGGGTCTTCGATATCGACGCATATGGCTCCTGAGTCCCTGATCTCTTCCAAAAATCGATCAAGCTCCATATCACTATATGCCGCGACCTCGCAAGCATATAACTTCCTCCCAGAGGTGGCCATGGTTCGGAGTCTGGAAGTAGAGTAGCACTGTAGTCAATCTGGAAGGATAACTCTGGCAGACTGGCACTGGGGGTGGGCCGTTGATTAGTCATCCAAATCTGATGGCCCATGCTGTGGAGTCAGTTTGATTGGGTCTAATCCAATTGTAGATATTTCTCCACTTACCTTCTCTGTTTCTTTTGCTGGGTTCATTCTATCCATGAATGGATGAATGACTTATTTGTAGGTACCATGATCAGTGACCAAACAAACGGAACTCCTACAAGTTACATGAAACGTACTAGATTTGGGAGCGAATCATCAGGCAGGAATAAGCGCCCGTATTTACACGTATTTATGTATTATTGGATACCTTGTCAGGATAAGTGTGGCAGTTCATAATTAGCAGGCTTATGCTGTTTGAGTCGAGCCAGGTCTGGACTAGGCTATCACCATAGATAAAGTATGGACTGATGCTGCCCACATCTATTTTTCTTTCAATTTATTTCTCCTGCGTTGTGAGCGTATTCAACGATGGAAAGTCCCAATGTCCTCGCCTACTTGTTTCCTATTGCTGACCCAGAAGATGTGCATTCCTATCAGTATGCTCTCCACACAGTTAAGCGCAGTGAAAACAGCTTACGATACGTTCCGGAGCAGCGCAAAGTGAATATAGAACTACAAACCCACAGTCGCGAGTCGACCGTCTCCCTAGACGATCACATCGAGGATTCGACTCCGAATTATCTTTTCAAGCCGGGGCTGCAATTAACTTTCAATCCTGGACCAAGAGCGGGCCCCGGATATTTCCTAGGAACCGATGAGAATAGCTGCGATATTGTGCTGCCGAAGCTCGCAAGGATCAGCAGGCGCCATTGCTTTTTCACATTTGATGAGAAGCGACGATTGATCTTGCAAGACTGTTCGCAAAATGGAACCATTGTCACCTACAACGGGAAGGGGGGAGAGAAGCGTCGACATTTCAAGTGGATTCTCAGTGGGGATAGAGTCCCCGAAGGCACTGAAAACTTCCTCCTTGAATTTCATAATCACCTGAAATTTCGGATCGTCGTCCCCAAGCACGAGACATGTCCGGATCTATATGCCGGACGTGTTGACCGATTCCTCCAAGAAGTGACTGCGAACATCGATCTTCCAATTGACAGACTCGGTATTCAGAGTGCAAGCACAACAGCAAATCAAAGCGGGGAGCTCACTCCAGGGCGAGATCCTATTTATATCCCACAGGGTACCCTTGGCAAGGGGGCCTTTTCAGTTGTAAGTCGTGTTTGGGATGTTAGCACTGGAAAATTGTACGCCTTAAAGAAGTTTCGAAACATTATTGGTTTAGATTGGAGGAAAGAAGCAAGTATAATGGAGCAAATATCACACGTCAGTCAGGGATATCCTTTGGTTCTAGTATGGCATTTCATATTGACGCCACTTCAGGAGCATATCATTGAGTTTATTCGTGTCGTAAAGACACCGTCGCCGGGTCTGATTCTCGAATGCGCCCCTTTTGGAAATCTTGGTAACCAAGAACAGATCTCAGAATATGAGGTCGTTACGATTCTCTGTCAAAGCCTTAGTGCCTTGACTTACCTTCACCGCAAAGGCATTGTTCATAGAGATATCAAGCCAGAGAACATTCTTGTTCAATCTCGAAATCCCCTCCACATTAAGCTCGCAGATTTTGGTCTGTCAAAGGCAGCAGGCACCCCAAGAACGGTTTGTGGCACAGAAACATATGCCGCGCCTGAGGTATTCGAAGGCGACTACACAAATGCCTGCGATATATGGTCGCTAGGCGTGATCATATTTGAGTACGTCTATGGCCTTCCAAAGCGCAAAGGCGACAGAGGGCGGCGGTGGTGCCAAAGAATTCTCCAAGCGCTTGACGACTGGGAGGATGGCTTAACTGAGATTCTGTCAACTGCTATGTTGATCATGAACCCGAAAGAGCGGCTTCCAGCGGACGAATGCTATGTGAAGGCCGTATGGCTCATGACTCAACCCCACAGTCTAGTCGCAAGTTCCCACCCATCATCTCAGACCTCAGGAGATATCAAGTCAAAGTCAAACGCCTGTCTTCGGAATTCCAATGCGTCAACTTTTATTGAACCCCAAAATACAATATTGCGGACCATGCAGCCGGGGACGCAGAGCCAACATCTAACAAAAATATTGAGCCCTCTTTGGGTTGACCTCCTTGCTGGTCGTCATGCTGAGGGAAACGTGCAAGAAGCTGGGGCACCGTCAAAGAGGTCTTTGAACGGTGATGCAAATGAAGAAAGCCTACAACTACAAAGGACCGCAAAGCGGCCAGCAATCAGGATTTATTCAGACGAATTGAATCAGAAGAATTATAAGTTTCGCTGTCGGTTAATTAATGGTCAAATCGTACGAATGCAGCTTCGTGACCGAAAGATCTGTTTCACTAGCTATGCGCAAGCAATGCGTCGGGGTCCCCTTTGGATCCGAGAACATTTGGGAAGGATTGACTGCGGGAAAAAAGAAGAATACACATCTCGTGGTTTTAAAGGGACCCTGGTTGATTTTGAAATCATGAAGTCATATGTGCAGAGTTGGGGGATCCAGGATTCCCTGGATTGGCGCTGTCTTATTGGTGACCGTCATGACAGGTTAGTGAATCAACCGGATCTGCTAGTTTGATTGTCATGAGAAACTAACATCTATCAGACAGCCATTACTCGAACAGCAAGGGATCCTCTACCTCCCGATATTTATGGATGATGTTATGATTCCTTTTAATACCCTATCGCAGACGGTCAACATCACAAGCATCTTTACAGCAGTGACAGGCAGCCGATCCCAACTGGGCACTCTATTAAAAAAGGTAGGGATTCAATACACATCTGTACATGGAGGAAGACTTGTCCAGGGGACATATATAGCTCAAACCGATGTTTGTAAATTTGGTGAACACATTGGCGTCGATCTTCGTGGTTTAGTTCGCCAAGCAGAAACATGGAAGAGCACGACAAGCGCTTCTGACTCCAATATCAGGCACGAGGGAGACCCTCTCTCACAAGAGGCTGAAATTTGGAAGAGCACGACAAGCGCTTCTGCTCATATCAGCCACGAGGGAGACTGCCTCTCAGAAGAGGCTGAAACCTGGAAGAGCACGACAAGCGCTTCTGCTCATATCAGCCACGAGGGAGACTGCCTCTCAGAAGAGGCTGAAACCTGGAAGAGCACGACAAGCGCTTCTGCTCATATCAGCCACGAGGGAGACAGTCCCTCACAAGAGGCTGAAACCTGGAAGAGCGCGGCAAGCGCTTCTGCTGATATCAGCCACGAGGGGGCCCGTCTCTCACAACTCTCACAAGAGATTGGTGACGATATTTCTTCTTCTTGTAACGGTATCACGTATCCAAGTGACTTGGATCTATGGAACTTGTTGAGTTAATCGTGACGTCGGGGTAGTACTTTAGGGGAAAGAAAGGCAGGATTTCAATTGATTTAGCGCCTTGAAAGGACTCTATTGCAGACTCTGCGGATTCATCGATGGCCCCTCCGCCTATTCATGTTCATAGTTAAAGATCTAACTTTGGTAATATTTTACGTACAGTATGCAACTATCCATTACACGATCCGATGTAAAATTTAGAACGCGACATTCACGGTCTCCTTCCAGCGGACTACCCACATTGACTGTACAGGTCCCTCTGTGTTCCTCAATCGTTGGCGACGATTCGTCATAATGCATGTGCACGGGGGAGTCAAGGACCAACAAATACTTTCCTTCTTAGTCTTCATAGACCTGGACAATATATTAGTACAATCTCAACGAGATGAGGAAGCCGCGCAAGATCAAGAGCATAAAGACGCTAAAAAGCTTCAACAAACGCTTGCAAAAAAATCTAGAGAGCTCGACAAGAATGAAAGAGCTCAGATTCGCCAAAACAGCGAGAACTACGACAACAAGAGGCTCAAGGCAAAGAGCGCCTTAAGAACATGAAAAATAACTCGCCAGAGCAGCAGATTTGCAACTTCAAAAAGCCTCAAGCCTCACTCTGGCAGTGATTGTCTTAGATAATCCATCCATCCATCAGTCTAGCAACAATTGGCCATGGTAAGTAAAACATTTCGTCGAATTATCTACAATATCTGACCATACGTGTCGACCCGGCATAGCAGTACGATGCAGAAGATATTATCCGGTACGTGAGATCCTTGATGCAAGGCTATGTCTGCACTCGTCGCAACGAAATTGAATTACCAGGAAAACTCTTTGAACGAAATCAGCAAATTAATCCTCTTCATAAACCTTCCAATTGCGCTTGATAAAGGCTTCAACGGTCGATAAGAGCACCTAGAAATTCAACCGAGAAGCAAGCCAGTATACATCCGTGACGTAGACCAGCTCAAGCCACACTGCTGCTGATCCCCAGCCCAGTTTCTATGATGCCTCTCCAGGCATTCTATCTTGATTGCATTACGATTGATTTTCATCAAAATCACCAGGCGGCGGACTTCGCTTGGTTTGCTTTCAAAGTCTTCGAGTGTCATGCAGCAAGGCACTGGGAAGTAGGATTTCTGCAAGTGTTAGTATTTGCCAACCAAGCAATTTTAAGTGACGTACAAGATGTGTGGTCATCGGCGACCAAAAGCTCAATCTATCAGACTGGAATGTGAACACGTAGCCGTTCTCTTTAAGTCTGATACCCAAAAAGATGTCTGCGTTGCAAAAAGTACCATATTGGTAAGCCTTATGAATCAAACTGATTCTCCGTTCATTTCGCTGTCGCACATGTCTTTTTCTAAGCCTTTGCTCTTTTGTAATTTTGCGAGTCATTGTAATTAGCTGGCTTTCGCTGAACGATAACAGACTTCTGACGGCGCCATGAAACAGGGGGCGGAGTATTTGAGTGATATAGTAGCATCTCTAGATCCGATTTTGGTTCGCAGTGCTACGCGTAAGCCAAAACTGACCTCTGGCAGAGCCAAATTAGAGTTAAAGTGGTCATCTACCACTCCGAATTGATTGACTGACTCAGATCATGGCTACGGAATTGACCTTCATTCAATATATTTCTCATATATGTTAGCTCAAATATGGATCATGCGAACGAAAGCCATCGAGGAAAGTAAAATAGAGTGCGGCTCAAAAATTAACTTTCGCAGTAGCGCGATCTTATACACCGACCAAGGAGGGCTGCTTACTAGTTTTGAGTGACTATCGTAGAAGGTTCACTTTGGGAATAAATCACTGGAATTGTTGCTATCTAAATTATCTAGGGAATGAAACTAGAATCAGGCCTGCCTGGTCCCAGTGAATGTAGATTATCATGTCAATACTGGTGATACTCCTACTCGTCGTGACGGTGTCTATGCCCCCCGTCTTTATTCACTGCGGTATACTATATCATAGGCCTGGCAATTGGTCGCTCCATCATTGGTTGTACTGTCTACCATTCAGTATGCTGCAGCATAATTCCATCAATACCGCTTCCAGTCCATAATATCAAAAGCCTGACATCGTCAATTTCTATTCGAACAGGCGGAACAAGATGAACCGGAAGGCCGTATCCAAAGCAAGAAAAGACCAATTTCATTCAGCCTTGATGCAAATGTGAAGGCCGAATTACCGGGCTCGTAAGAGAAGGTCAAACAAGAATTTTTCTACCAATGAAAGTCCAGCGAGGCGATGATCAGACTCTACGGACCCGTTTTTCCATCTCTCCTGGACTTTTCTGTAAATTCCTTGGTATGGAAACTCTCCGTCATACTCGTCTGGATGAATGAGAAATGTGATTCTCGACTAACTGACTCGGTTGACTCATCACCTGACGTATCGCAAATCGTACTAAAACTAGTATTGAGCGTGGATTGAACTACATTGGAAGTAAAGTGGTCGTTGGCTCGTCTGATCGCATTTTCTCGTTGTTCTTTTGCCCAATCTCGACCATTCCGGAACCAAGTCGCGCCTTCGCGGAAGGTGTCAATACTGTCTGTCAAGGCGAAGGATCTTAATTGGGTCATGTAGTACTCCGGCCGATCTGAATTAGTTGTCTTCGAAGGATGGCTGGTGAACATTTTCAGCGTGCCACCATGATAGATGTTCGTGAGGGTGTAAGCATTGTTGTCAAATTTAGGTTCTTCCTGTTTATATGTTTGGAGTGTATGCATGGCTCGCGCACCAAGCGCCCCATCGTAACTAGCTTGCCTTCCAGCAACCGCCAACGAACCATCAGGTCCCTTTGCTGCGAGAAGGAAATTTGGCAAAATCGGAAGGTCATCCTGTGTTGATGGTTTGATTCGACCACTAAGCTCAGAGCGAATGTCGCGTCTGAGTTGCTCGGGTCGTGCTCCATAGTATCGGTCAGGGTTCCCTGGCTTCAAAGTGCCATCGGTGAGAGGAGCGAAGTTTCCAAATGTGACACCGCCGGAAACGCATCTAACATCTCCGCTGTTACCCTCGATCATGGAGATTACAGACTCTGTAACTTGCTTCTCCTTGAAAGCATTAGCATCAGATCGGACGAAACTTTCATGCGCCTCTTCAGTGAACTTAGAAGGTGAAAGGGACGCTCGAGGTCTCGCTAATCTCTCCTTAATCTCGCTCCAGTTACTGGGTTTTGGTGGTCTCCGTCCGTCCGGGTAATCGTAAGCGTGAGGGTAAATGCCGTAATCAATGAGATGTTGCTGAAAGTCGCGGTCATACGGTCCACTACTTCTGGTCGTTTCTGTTCTTGAGGGTCTAGTGCTCCGTGAAGTACTCCGCGACGTGCTCGAAACCTGTGAAATGCTTGAAGCTCGTGAATCGCTGACGCGTTTTTGAATTCGATAGCTCGACGTCCTCGAGTTCATGCCGGGAACTGAAGATTCTTTAGGTTTTCGGTACTAAACAGCACTCAGCTTCACCTTGAGCAATCTAGTTTCGGAACATACTCCTCGTATTTTGCACAGGTCAGGACCACCACGTCTCGCGTATCTTTTGATCTTCCTGAGATCCTGTGGTGAACAGTAACGAAGGAAATCATTAGCTGGTCGGCGAACCAGTAAATCTTCTTCCTCGCTAATAGTTCTCTGGAAATTCCTCCGGTCAAGTTCCCTCAACGCGTTGCGTGTCAGCCAAACCCTGGACAGATTGTCCCAGAATGCGGACGAGGATTGAGAGCTGGCTGGAGGATTGAGTTTCCGTTTCTTCGCCGAATGCCGAGACGGCTCATCAAGGGAATATGACTCCGAGTGTAAGCGTTTGCACGACTTTCCGTTGCTCTCTAGATGCATCGAGCATTCATCTTGTGTAGCTAACGGAAGAGTCATCTTTCCGCAGCCTGGGGTATGAGCTGAATAAATCATAGTCCCTGTTCTAACCAGTGTTGTGAAAAGAAGACTTGGCGGCGGCAGATGAGTCATCACTGAAACGCCTTATTTGAGTCCTAACAGCCAATCATCAAGCATCAAGGCCCATAATCCGTAGTCAAAAAGCTCTTATTGGATGAGGCCGCTGCTCTTCTTTTCAGTGGTAGACAAGCTGAAACAACGTAAGTTGCTAGCAGCCAATCATCATTTCAATCCTAGCGCGACGATATTCTCCATAAAATTTCTGGCGCTAGCTATTTTTCAAAACAAACATGACTCAGCATCAAAAATAATCCACTTCAAGCTCAAGGAACGTAGCCAACACGGCGGTTAACTACAACATGCCTACTTCATGGCAAAGAGATTATGTACTCAGCTGCTCAAGATGAAGACGATAACACGGTAGGAGGAATTCGCAAACCCTCTCTTTATTGGTCGTCATAGGCTGTGACCTGCCAGCCAATGAAAGAAAATCTGGACATTTCACGCGAAGCTAGTGTTACCTGATCTTGCGGGTTGTGTCTACTACATAATAATGACTATTATTTGATAGGTCTTAAAGATAATCATGCCTGATCATAAGTGCACAGCAGGCCGATACAATTTTTGAATGCAACAGAAATTTGGTGGTTGACGCAAATCGAGACACGATGAATTCATGCATCTTGTATTGACAAGCCGTTATCTTTCTCAAGTGCCTGGATGACTTCAGAGTGATTTGACATCTTCGCACACTCCAGAGCTGTGCGACCATTTGCATCTTTGATATCCAGATCGGCTCCTTTACTGATCAAGTAGCGAACTATATCCACTTTGCCAAGTTCAGCTGCTTTGTGCAGAGCCGTGCCGAGGCCCATAAAGAAGAAAAGCGCCCAAGAAGGGTAATCATTGTACATAGTTGAATTGATATCGGCCCCCTTTTCAATGAGAAGATTCAGTACCGCAATGCTATCTGAGTTCCGTGCGATTGCGTGATGGAGGAGTTGTCCTTTTCGAGCGTCTCCGCCACGTCTGAGCATGAGCTGGATGACTGATATAGGCGCAGATTCTACAGCTCGGGAAAGTGGGGTGAAATCAATGACACATTGCTGATTGGGATTAGCTCCATGATCAAGAAGCCAACCTACCATTCCCTCATCTGCAACGGCATAACTAACGAAAATGTTATTATGGTGTTCCTGATAGTCAAGCTTACTAGGACAAATCTCACCCTAGTACAGGAGGTTCCAGCTCGCTGATGGGCTGGTTGATATTCCATCCGTTTTGAAGGAAAACTTCCAGAGCATCCTTCCTCTTGGTGCTGACAGCTTCCAATGCATAGAGTGGATCCATGGGCAAGCCATGATCAAGAAGTTCTTTGATGAACTGCACGTCGGCTCGATTGATGGCTTCGACCATTATCGCATGAAAGTCGTGTATGTCAAAATTCTCCGAAGAAGGATCTTGTGAGTCCAGGATCGCTCGAAATTCCTGGATATCACCACTGACACAACAAGCACGCGCTATTTCAAGCGTCGCCGGAGGTGTTCGAGTTGGAATTTGGGGGTATTCGCTCGGGTGAACTGGAGGGTAGTTTGGGGGAGGCAGGACATCCATGGCGGGTTGAATGGCGAAGTATCACATTTGCTTTGTAGGCTGTAACGAAGCGTAGATTATGTATGTGGTGGCAGCAGGTGGGGAAGCATATTTAGATTATTCATTTCACGTCATTAGAGACCTAGGCAGTTGGTCAACCAATAAGGACTGGGCGGTGTGTTCGGTTCCTATCTCGGGTTAGCCGTACACGAGCCAGAGTAAGCTGATTGGCTAATATGCATGGTTGTGAAGTTCAAATGGATTTGGTTAATTGATGACACGGGCGCCTACGGAGGAGACCGTGTTGGTGGACCTGGCAAGCAAGTTATTTTTACCAAGTTCTTACGCCGTACGTTTTGTTGACGAGAATGTGAGTGGGCCTCGTTAGGTCACCAATTGAAGACGCGCGTTTATATGCGTTCAAGGATAGGCGGCTAGCTGAGGAAAAGGTGTAGAAAACTAGAGGAAATGAAATTCATTTTTAGAGCCTTGTAGCGTTTTTGAAAAAGTATAAGAAGTAGTACAAATTATTTCTTGATAGATAGAACGTCCCCATCCTTCCGTGCAAACACATACGCTACTTTCAAGATCTCCTATAATGTCCGGATCAGGTATTCTCGCTCAATGGCAAGCGCGTCGTGCAGTTCTTGTGGTTCCAATGGGTGGCGTCCAGTTTCTTTCTTTCCAACAACAGCCGGCGATTGGCACTAGGGACCTTGGATCATGTTCTGTCGTGCTCATAGCATCCGCGCGCGGCGCTATTCTTGCTCATATCCCTCCACGACCCTTGCAACCTTCACCTGACCCGTTTGCCGGTGATAACAACGCTCGTAATATGATGAATCAAGTGGCCACTCTCTATCAACAAAACAGTGGGTACTTTTCTTCCGCAGACTCGGTTGTTGTCTGTGCTTGGTACAACGGAGCAGTGGCGTTGCCTGATCAGATGGAGATAATGTCCTCGTCTCTTCGACAATTGGGACTCAATCCGACCATCAAAACATATCATGTGCCTGGAAATAGAAGTCTTCCTGGTCAGGGAACTGTGATTGCCATCAAGTCTGCCAACCAGCCGAGGCCTCAGATATACGTGGAGGATCGTCTAATCTGAGATACGTTGATTAGCAAATGAGCCAGAGGCGCATGATGGCAATGCGAACACAAACCTGTGATTCATTAGAATTCGAGTCAGCACACATCGAATTGGACAGTAAATCACAAGGCATGCAGGCATGGCTTCGGGAACAATTAGACACGTGAAATTGGGCGACTTTAGACGTATGGTAGAACAGAATTCATGCTGATGTCCGATACTAATAATAAATTTTTCATTTGGCTCTCTATCAAAATGGATAACCATCATAATCTGAAGGAAAATTGTTGATAAGATTTACTAAAGTAGCCCATGGCAAAGAAGTTATAGACAGGTCCCGATGACTTATTGCTTCGCGAAGACTGACATTGATCAGATTGCTTGTTCAAACATAGATTGGTTATGAATATGCACAATCGGGTTCTTAACACTGATGGTAGGGTAAGCAAATGTGCTCCAGATATTTGGAACCGAATGACATGCAATGAATGCAACTGATGTGTTAGTATATTCTGCAATACCTGATTGGTCATGAGCCCTGCAGACCCAACCATGAAAGCAAAGAGCCTCCATGAGGCTTCATTTACTAGACATCAGGCAAAAAGGTTGGGCATCGAAACTTTTCATGTCACTATTGATATAAATGACCAAGAATTTTTAAGCCATAACTTATAAGCTGACTGTGATTATATCCCGCTCTAAAGTGGGGGTTATATTCACGTGCTTGGCGGATATTCTTCCTAGCCCCGCCATTACGGCATGAGTCTATGATATTTCCTGTCTTGAGACAGAAAGTCCCAATACCGTAAGATTTACGCATGTGCACTTCGAGTGGTCGGCGTTCAGTGCACAGGACAAATGGCATATCTTCGTCCAGCGGCAAAAGAACCCGATCAGGTATGCGATGACCTGAGATCCTGGCTACCAATGGCAGACTTTCCCTCACAGGATGATGCGCCACATATGAGGTTGTGCCGCAATGTCCCAGCACACCTCCTTCAACCCTTCCAGAGGGAGGTATGGATATCTACAAGTTCATTCGCTTTTCAAATCACTAATCTTCATGCTAGAATATGAAGACCAGTTTGATACAGTTTACGAACGGAGCATCACCGCGAGAACCTTACGGTATTCTTACTGCGATCCGTCTAGACGAAAATACGGCAACAGTTTCGCTCGTCAATCACGACACAAAAATCACTATAGCAGAAAGCGATTCCATAGAATGGAGTGGATTGATAGAGATTATAAACCCATGCATCTGTGTGGTGACTTGGAGCAAGACGATTTAAAAAAAATGGAAGGAAAAGGTCAAGGTGATTCTCAAGGAGATGGAATGCCTGTTATCTGAGAAAAGGATGGAAGTAGGATGGAAACAATATTCGAAGGTTCGTTGGATACTGGTGATCCGGTTGGAATCGCAGATATTGAATTGAAAGACGGAAGGGAATATGGGGGCTCGGGTTCCGTGAGGTACAGATTGCCAAAACCTGAATGTGATTCTAGCCATTAGTTTAGCTTATTTTCGCCAACTCGAATATAAAAGAACTTACCTGGGTTCTGTTGTGATTGGCTTGCTCCTAAAGCGGGTGGGGGCTGCTCGTGTCTTTGAGAGTTCGTGGAGATTGTGTTCATAGATGGGAAATTTTGATGATGAAAACATCCCAGATCCTTTGCAGCAACTTTTGTAAAATGGACACCCCCATTTTCAGCGTGTGGTTGATTTCCAGTAAGGACTGAGTTGCTTGCTCCGGTAATTTCATATGCTGTCGCGATATGGCTGTGCAATGGACTATGTGAAACATGGGTTCCAGGCCTGTGGGTGATTGGAGGATTTCGAGGAGATAAGGGTAATGGAGTCGATAATCCTGGTTGCTGAATCGGTGTCTTATCAGTTGATAGTTCCACCTGCTGACACGTAAAGGTTGCCCAAGAATTAGGTTCTTGCTGCGATGCATGCGCTTCGTCGTTAGGCTGCTGACTTGTGACGGTTTGCGGAGCAGTGTTTGCGGGCCGTGACGGCGATGAGTATCCACGTTTGCGCTTGCCTTTGTTTGGCATTTGCGGCCTGGAAAGGTTCAAGGTCTCTTTCCGAAATATAGACATCTGGCGACAAAATCGATCCTTAACGTATCCCATTATGCTGGTGGCCGCAGCATTCGAGCTTTCTTCTACTTCAAACCCCTGAGAAAGATAATGATGAACGACGAAACTCACATCGTCAGTTCTGTTCAAATACTTTTCATATCTTAGCAACCGTCAGCTCACCATCGGCCATTATGTAGTTGGATGAAATACCTACGTAGATGCAGGCAATGCGAATAGATAGAAAATAATTCCGTATCCCAATTTTTGCGTATATGACTCGTACACCGCCCCCATTTCGTATTCAGTGCTAAACCACTTAGAAATCTCCTTCGATTCTGTGTCGATTCCCTCGGATAATATGGTATCAACACACCATTTTTTGACCTCAGTTGTGAAGTGCTGAATCCCACGAATTTCCAGAATTTGTTGAATCACATAACGAAGGGCAATTGAGTGGAACGCTCGACGAATAGAGCTGGCTATGGCTTTTCGTCGGTCTGCGAAGTATATATCACCAAGAATAGTGTGTTTGGATTGCGCTGTGGAGGTCTTCTCCCCGCCAGACCAGAATATTGAACCTTCTCGTGCGTAGCATGGAAGGGCATCGCTGAGAAATTCGGGGACCGTTATATCATCCTTCCTAACCTCTTTCACACGAGCGAGAGCTTGCTCACGATTGCGGGCTGTGCCTGTCTTGCCCGTCTTTGAACCTTGGCTAAATGCTTTTTGCAAAGCCTGCTTGATACCTGCCGGCAGGGTGTCCTTGCTTGCAATGAGGAAATCAACAATCTTGGATATTTGTCAGTTTTGATTCGATTTACAGAAAGAGAAGTACTCGCCACTTGAAGGTATTCTGAATCGCTTATTCCACCTTTGTGAAATGCTGGAGCTCGCTCGCGTATATGAAGAATCTCAGTATCCATCATTGAGAGGAGTCAATAGCCTTGGAAGTGTGCTAACCGGAGGGGACGATACGGGAGGATGTGGGACAAACGGGACTGCACTGGAAAGGCAAAACGATCCGCTAAGACAACTGGACATCTTTTACTAACCAAAAACGTAAATCTTTGTCCCCCGGGGGGACAAAGATTTACGTTTTTGGTTAGTAACTCACCATCAGGCTTAGGCTGGTCCTTACCCGCAGGTGACCCACCGGCTAGACTCCTGATAGTGGAACAATCATGCATTGATTTGCTATAGCGAACTGATCACAGCACTAACACTAATCACACTGGGTCACTTTTTTAGATTCGTCGTCGTTATCTCGGTTACGCGATGTTTCTTTGAGTGGCCTGAGCATACATATCAATTTCGAATAGTACATATTTGCCGTTTACCAGGTCCTTTAGCGCCGAAGACCACATGCGAAATGGAGGAGAAGGACTGGGTACTCTGCTCTATCTCTGCCACCCACTTTCAAATGTACCATTGCCTGCAACCATGATACAGAGGTTCTAGATCGAACACTTTCATCAAGTCTGGATCTTGTCTGGCAGGCACTAGCCTTGGTGGTCATGATACGTGCGAACAATATATTAAGAGTATGCCAGCCTCGTCCAAGGGTTCGCCGCAATTTGGTGCACACCAGTCAAGCTGACCGGTTTTGAAGTTCTTCACTACTGCTGATATGATGCTTGACTACTTGTTCGCGTGTGGCGGCGAACGCAGGAAAATTCGACGTGACAAGGCTCCCCGGGAGGTAGGCATCATAGACTTTCTAATCCATACTTACCTGCAGAAAATGCTAACGTTGTCTGCGCCTAGGACACGAAGCACAGTGACATGACTACCTTCGGTAACATGCGTCCTGCTCAAAGAACTCCACGCAGTCCACAGCCCATTCGAGAAATGCCGCCGTCGAAAGCACTTCACCCTAACATATCGAGACCGACCTATTCTTTACCTCCCCACAAGCCGGTAAGTATCGTGGTTTTCACCAACTTTCGTCACTCTTGCGCATGTAGCTAATACCTGTATAGGAAGTGATGCACATTCAGACGTTCAGAGACCCTTGTGCGATTGATGTCAGGGGTCTAACTCAGGAAGTGCCAACCATTTCAAAGTCAGCTAAATCGTCAAATATACCACCAATGCAGGGGTTCTCTACCATGAGACTGAAGACTCCCAGAAAACCTCGAAAGTCCGAATTCGCCCTAGAGAGATATGTTGATTCACGAAAAGCCGAACTATCATGGGAAGACCTGTTGGAGTCTGAGCGCAGTTTTCTCTATTTTTGATTGCCTATTAGCCCATGTTACCCTATCATTCATTTAGTTGTTTTCTCTTTTGAACTTTGATACAGAACCTACTAGTCACCAACAAAAGGTGTTCTATTTTTGGAATGGATGTATTATTAATACAAGCTTCTCAGTATCTACAGTCTTGTATAATATTCACTCGAAGCACTAGATGAAGCCTTTCTGCGTTGAAATCTAAACACTACACATCTCTTACAACAATCTTCTGCTACACGATGTCATCGACACCACCTCCGCGTTATGATGAAGGCCGAAAAGCCACCGAGGATGGAGTGGTTCCTTGGTGAGTTGAGGTTCCCGTCAGACATCCTATCCCTACTTACAGATACAGAGGCCTCTTTCTACGTTACTAAAAATGCAGCACGAGTCTGTAGGTACAGCAGATCTCGCGTATTTGAGTAGAAAACAATCTAGACACTGGACGGAAATGGATGTACTACTGAATAGTTGCAAAAAAATAGGAAGCTTGGAGGTTCATGTATGCTGGGAGTCCTAGCACAGCTATCTAATAGTGTTCATATCGATCAGTGTAGGGACGATGCTTAAACCTCGTCTCATAGATATAAATACAATCATCTTTCCCAGATATCTCGAACCTCAACAAGAACTATTGGCAAGTCTATCTGAGTAGCAAGGCCTTCATCATGCTTAGATGCGCACACAGAGAGCTCCACAAGCCTTATGTAAGATCGTCTCCATGATTATTGATCAATTCTAATATCTACTAGATCTTTAGACTCCCTGCCTTGAGCCATGGATCATCCATCGATGAATCTAGTCTCAGGGCGCTTGAGATGAGCCTCGATAAAATCAAGTCCAAAGCAATTCCATTAGAATGGGACTTATTTCTCGCATATCCTCAAACAGGAGATGAACTACGGAAGATTCAACAACATTGCAAGGCAAAGCTACTCGGCGACTTTCCTTTTTCTGACTACGTTGAAGACGAATATCAGTGGCAGGCCTCATTGTGTTGTTCATTGGAAGCATATCGTAACACTGGAAAAGAATGGCTCGACTGGATGGAGCTTACGTTGAAGGCAGCCAAAAGCTTTGAGCTTCAAGCAGCCCACAAAATAGCCGATGTTTCTCCTCAGCATTTTGCAGCCACAAAATTTCGATGCCTTAAGCCTCTCTGGGTCGTGTGGGGGAAAAAGACGGAAGAAGGGACGGCAGAGGAAACAAAAGAACTAAATAGCTTCCTGGAGGACCATGGAATCTCCGTCGCCGATGCTCCTCATATACTGCCCTTGAGGTATGGTCTATTCGAGGTTTGGTTCGAGGAGAATCGAAGAGCCGAGCTTCGAAAGCTTTTCTCAAAGACTTATACCGATTTCGACGAAGACAGCCCTTTGGTGCGGTTTCAAGGGTACTGTGAATCTTTGCGCATAGTGCTCGACGCATACAAAAAGCAATCTAATTTCTGGGGAGAAGTGGATGTAATCGTGAAGCGCCGTATGGATGAATTGGGGGCCCTTACTTCACGAGCAAAGATATAACCAAAGATCTGATGCCGCACTCTCTATTTTGGTCCATTGAGTACTTCTGAGCTGGGGAAATATTCGCCAAGATAATAGCTGCTCGTTACAATTGCTAAATGTTAGTTTAGGGTATACGACTGACGTCTCGAATTAGGAAAGATTATTCGGAAAGCTTAATGGTAGTTGACAGCAGCTGTGTTCCACTATGTCCGTACATGATAGTCTATTGCAATCGCTTACCCTGTGATACGCCACTTCTAGACAGATTGGCAAATCCATTGGTTGTTTCCCCTGAAGAATGCATGGCGATTAGATGACTAGTGCGATAACGCATCGAGGCTAGATATACTTGCCGGAGTATAATATGTAGAGATTTCATTCCTTTGTTGGTTTTGTTACTTTAATATCCTGTCTGTTCTAGAAAATCCTCACAACTCCCAGAGGAGGCATTTTTCAGACAGTGCCTTCAACAACGTCTTTGTCTGTTTGCTCCTCAATGAACCCTACTGAGAAAACAATGGAATATGTTGAGAGGAACTTAAGGCCAGTATACGACAATTGCAATCAGACAAACATAGGATTTTCTCGTGGAATACTTGTGAGGGATGTCCAAGATTGAGCTCAGCCAACCTTCAGGCAATATCAAGCGCCTCAACACCACCTGATGGCTATTCATCATCTGATTTACCGCTTGATATACGAAGCATGCAAGCCTTTACCCTGTTACGCTACAACCGTGAAGTCCACAAGGCTTATGGCCACACAGGCTTCCTGTGTTTATTTGAGCAATGTGATCGAGCTACTTCTGGGAGGGTTTTTCCACGCCGATGGAATTGTTACGATCACATGCGAAAAATCCATCATTACACTGGTAGTTATGATGACTTCTTGAAATCGCAAGGTAGGTAATCTCAGTTCATCAGCCTTGATATTTGACTCTACTGATATTGATTTTCCTAAGGAATGATCTAACTCGACATTGGACTAATGCTAGACTCCTTTCTGTCGTTCCCTATAATATATTTGCTGAATTGATCTCTTCGTCTGGGTAGGAAAATGTTGCATAATTTCTTCCCATGACATTTTATGTTCTTCTTTTAGCCTTTTCAAGATCTCTTTGTTGTATGTGGAGAGTCGTGGCAAAGAGTGAAAACTATAATGACAATTATCCCCTCTTTTCTGACACTGAGCACACGGTCGTTGTCTTGAGCATTTGTTGTTGCCTCTTTGAGTGCATTGATCGCATATAGTTTTTAATACTCGTGAGATGGTACATT